TTCCTTTCCTTTCCTTTCCTTTCCTTTCCTTTCCTTTCCTTTCCTTTTTCTAGCTTTTTTTAAATTTGTTTTATGTTTAAGTGTTCTTTCTGCATGTACTCCTTTATTCCAGAAGAGGGCATCAGATCCCACTATAGATGGTTGGTGAATATTGAGCTCAGGTCCTCTGAAAGGAAGAACAGCCAGTGCTCTTAACCATTGAGCCATCTCTCCAGCCCCCATGTGAATTTCTTAGTAAAATGACAAGACTCATTCAGGAGACAGTATTCACAAACTATTAATAAAACAGATTGCAAACCAATTTAATTTTTTTTTTTTGATTTTTCAAGACAGAGTTTCACTGTAGCTTTGGAACCTGTCCTGGAACTAGCTCTGTCGATCAGGCTGGCCTCGAACTCACAGAGATCCACCCGCCTCTGCCTCCTGAGTGCTGGGATTTTGAGTGCTGCTGTGTGCTGAGTGCTCTGTGAGTTTGAGGCCAGCCTGATCTAGAGAGTGGGTTCCAGGATAGCCAGGGCTACACAAAGAAATCCTGTAAAAAAAAATTACTTATGGAATGTGACAGTTTTCAAGAGTCAGATCTTGACAGTGGTCGAGATTGGCCAGAGGGAACTTCATCCAGTGAGTCATCTTGACCCAAAGCCAATCTTAAAAGTGTACCCTGAACTGCAGAAGAGTCAAAAGCAAGCTGACTCCTAACAAACACGCACATATTACATCTCTCTGTTCTAGCTGCTTCACACTTTAAAACTGCCTCAAACTAATGGACTACAAAGCTGGAATTGTAAGCCAAGCAAAGCCTTTCTGTCCTAGGTAGTTTGTCAGGATGTTTTTTTGTTTGTTTGTTTTTAATTTTTTTTGTCCCATCAGCAGAAACAACTGGGACAGAAAGGGAAGGCTAGCATTGAAGGCTCCCTCCAGAACTCTCTGCGTTGACCCAGGTTTGAAGGTTTATTGAGATTTTATGTGTCAAAAAAAAAAAAAAAAACACAACAGACCACTGTGTATCAGTAGCAGCCCCAGCGAAGCAGGAGATTTGTGTGGCTAAGCCTAGAAAGGTCCATCTGACAGTTTTCTGCAGGAGAAAAACATTGCCGGTCTCATCTAGCTCCATCCTAGTAGCCACTGTATTTAAGTACTTGGCTCCTCTGTGACTTCACAACGGAACAGGATGCTAAAAACTTAGTTGTAAGAGAAAAATAAATAGTTGTAGCTGGGGAAAGTGGCACATACATATAATTCCAACACTTGGACTGAGGGCAGGAGGGTTGTGAGCTCAAGGCCAGTCTGAACTACATAGCCAGTTTAAGATTGACCTGGGTTTTATAGGGAGACCCTGTCTCAAAAGAACCAAAGCAGGGCTGGGGAGATGTCTCATTGGATAAAGTACTCTGTGTAAGCATGAGGACCCGAGTTCAGCACCCACATTAAAGGCTGGGTGTGAAGTTGGCTGTGATGGCGCACACCTTTAATTCCAGAGAGAGGCAGAAGCAGGTGGATCTGTGAGTTTGAGGACAGACAGGGCTACACAGAGAAACCCTGTCTTAAAACCAAACAGGTCTGAGTGCGGTTAGTTTGCACCTGCAATCCCACCAGTGAGCAGGCAGAGACAGGAATCGATTCCCCAGACCTCACTGGCTGTTCAGCTTATATAGTTGGTGAGGGTTCAGCCATAGACCCTGTCTTTAAAAAAAAAGGTAGAGAGAGATGGTAGATGAACACATGATTCTGACCTCTTGCCTTTACGGGTTACTTCTCATCCCCCACAAATTCAAACCAAACCAAAAGCCCTTAGTGGAAGAGCCAGGGTACAGTGGTTTCTCCTACCTCATCAATGACTGCTAAAGGTGCTCAGAGGTCACTGCTGTGTAGATGGATTCTCACCTCTTTGGTTCCTTAGGGAGAGTAGGAGAGATAAAGAATTAATGCACAGTTCTCGGGCTGCTGATGTTTCTTGTAGCAGTGTGTCTCCAGTTGTACCCTTGGGCTAGCAGCATTGGTGTCACCTGTGAGCTTCTTACAACTTATATATAGGTTCAGCCCTGGCTGCCCTAGTTAAGTGCCTGGGGCAGATGCAGGAAACTGGCTTTCTAAACTCTCTTTGGGGAAAGAGCAAGGAAGAATGACATGACTGTGCCAGTGGAGCCCCTCTGCTAGCATTACCTTTTCAGAACATGGGGTGGGTTTGTCTGCAGTACCTAAGTACTTTGAATGCTTCCATAAACATTTGTCTGGGGACAGAGATGGTAAAGTACTTCCAAAGATCCTAATTTCCATTCATAGCATCCATGTGAAAATGTCAGCCATAGTGCCTTGTGCCTGTGATCTGAGCACCGGGGCACTGGAGACTTGAGAGTCCCTGTTAATTGGTAAGCTTCAGGCCAAAAAGAAGCCCTGTTTCAAAAGAGGTGGATGGCATTCCTGAAGATAACAGCCTCTAGCCTTCACCCGCATGCACTGTATGCCCACCAGCACCCTTTGAAAGAAGAGCAGCTTGTTTTTAAGGTGATTTCTGACATTTGATGTGGAAGTGAAGGAAAACAAGGTTATGGGAAGATGGAACAATGCCACAGAAGCAAGCAAGAGATCTGATAGGAAGTTTAAACTCTCACTTTTAATGGGTGAACTGTAGGCAGCTCTCCTGCTGTTACCCCGCACTGCGCTGCACTGCAAGTTGGAAATAGAAAATGTCTTGTACACAAGTTTCTCAGAGCTATGTCTTAAAGATTCAAGCTAGTGATGGTGGTGGACACTTTTAATCCCAGAACTTGGGAAGCAGAGGCAGGGCGAATGAATGAATCTCTGTGAATTTGAGACCAGCCCAGGAGGCCAGTCCACAGACTGAGCCCAGGACAGCCAGGGCTACATAGAGAGACAGTTTGAAAAACTAAAACTACATAGTTTGAAAAACTAAAACTTGAAGTTCTCTATCCCCTTGGAGAACGAACCCTGTGTCTATTCTGTTCTTGGAGGGTGGAATGGGTGTACATGGATCTTCCAGCACAGAGCAATAACTAGATACTGACAACTCCGTTCCGAAGGTGTTCTCAATATGGACCCGTCTTGTGCTAGGTGCCTGGGATTTCCACACTACACACTGAGCTGTCCAACTGCTTTGTCCCTACTCCCAGTGTAGCATCAGACTCTGGCTGGAATGGAGTGAATTGCATTATCCCTTCAGTTGTTATTGCCAGAAGTGTGTCACCAAGACACAGCTTGTTGAGCCAGAATTACTAGCCCAAGGCCATGTGTGCTGAGCACAGAGGAGTGTCAAGACAGATAGCAAGCCTTTTACTACAGCCTGAGGCCACGTTAGAGGCCAGCCAGGCATTGAAGATTCCACCTCAGACCCTAGCAGGGAGTTCCCCCACACACCTCAAGCAGTCCTTCCCTTTGAGAGGGAGTGATGAGTCTTGGAGTGGCCTACCAGGAAAGGACTTCTGAGGTGTGACTCCCTCCTGGAGCAGCCACACAGGAGCCCAAGGTGGCTTGCCCATCCACTGCTCACAGTACATTTTAGTTTACTCACATTATCTGAAGAACACTCAGCTGTGCTTGCCTTACTGCCTTGGGTGGTGGCAGACTGGGCAGGGCACCTTCCGCTGTTCTTCAGTTTTTTGAAGGGATACAGAGCTTTTAGTGCCTGGGGAGCAGAGTGGCCTGTGGCTTCTTTCTGAGTTACACCAAGTGTAAAGTGGATGTGCTGAGAACAGAGATCTTTGCAGGTGTCTCTGCTGGTCTGTAAAGGTCTTTCTGATTGTCACGGTGCTAGAGGGCACTGTGAAGGCTTGCCCACCAAGTGGAACATAGTTGTACTTTATGCTTATCTACGACTTGGAATTGGCTGAAATTCCCCTTAGACCTACTGGTCACCAAGAACTGTGAGTGTCCTGAATCCAGGGTGGAAAGCTTTAGAGCTGAAGGAGGTTAAGCTGTGTAATAGATACTTTCACCCCTGCATCTACTCATCTCTCCTCTACCCTCTTTTCCACAGTGAATACCTACCTCTTCATGGTGCAGGCTCAAGGCATCCTGCTTCGGGACAATGTGAGGACCATTGGTGCCCAGGTGTATGAGCAGGTGGTCCGAAGCGCCTATGCCAAGAGGAACAGTAGCCTGAACGACTCAGGTAAGCTGTGGTGAAGAGAGCCTTATGGAATGTCCGAGAGAGGCAGGGAGGCTGAGTCATTCATCTCCAAAAGAGAGAGTGTTGAGAGAAAGATTGGCTTGGAGTCATCGCTCCTGCTCAGGGTGGCTAGAAGGCTGCATTTTCTTTCTGAACTCAAAGTTGTGTTTCAGAACATGGCTTCTTGCTTTGTTTTTGAGATAGTGTCTCCCTGTGTAGCCCTAGCTGGCCTCAAACTCAGAGTTACACCTGCCTCTGCTTCCCAAGTGCTGGGATTAAAGGTGCTCACCATTATATGCTGCCTTAATTTTCTTTTTTAACTTATTTTTGTTGGGGCATGAATATGCCATGGAGTAAGTACAGAAGTTGGTTCTCTCCTTCCACCAAGAATGTCCCAGGAGTCGAACTCAGATCATCAGGCCTGGTGGCAAGTCCATTTATCACTAAACCATCTTATTTGTCTCAATTTCTTACCTTCTTTCAAGATTTACGTGTGTGTTTGTGTGTGTGTGTGTGTGTGTGTGTGTGTGTGTGTGTGTGAGAGAGAGGGAGAGAGAGAGAGAGAGAGAGAGAGAGAGAGAGAGAAAACTTGAGCACATGTGTGTAGATGGTGCACACAAAGGCCAGAAGAGAGTGTTGGATCCCTTTAAGCTGAAGTTGTAAGTGGGTATGAGCTGGCCAGTAGAGGAGCTGGGAACTGAACTTAGGTCCTCTGCAAGAGCATCAAGTACTCTTAACACTGCTGAGCCATCTCTCCAGCTTCATTCTTTCTTCCTTAAAGGAAATAATGCAGCTCTCAAAATCATCTAAATAATATCTGTTATTGAAGTACTAGCCTGAAATTCTAACACTTGAGAAGCATAGTCTATACAATGAGGCCTTGTCAGAATGAATGAATGAATGAATGAATGAATGAAATCAGGACCGGTCTGTGGCTGAATGAATGGAGAATGCTTGTCTCATGTTCACAAAGGCCTTAGTCCATCCCCAGCTCCAGGGGAGAAATGCTGCTCTCCTTTTGAGTGTGCAGTATGCAAAGATATAATCCATGGGCTGGATGTGCTGGAGAGCTGCCCCAGTGAATAAAACCACCAGCTGTTCTTGCAGAACCTGGATTCAGTTCCCAGCACTCACATGGTAGCTCACTACCACCTGTAGCTCCAGTTTATAGCTGACTTCTGCAGTCACCAGGCACATAAGCAGACACAGACACACATGCATGCAGAGTACCTGTACACATAAAATAAATATCTAAAATTTGAAATGCTTTTTAAAAAGTATAGGCCTAGCATTTAAAAACTCCAAACAAAAAGGATGACATTCTGTTTTCTATCCCCACTCTCAAGACAGGACCAGTGTTCCTCAAGTCATCCTCCCTGGATAAAGGCCTGGGTGTGTTAGCCATTTGGCTCTTGGACGCCCTCTCGGTATTCTTTAAGAAAAAACAGCATAACAAAAAACAACCTGAGTTGAAAATTCTCCAGCTCCAGCCACAGAGTGAATGAAAGCCAGCTTTAGTGTTTGTCACACCTGTGTGATTCTAAAGGACTGGGAAAAGAGACAGTCTGTGCAGAACGGTGGTGCAGCTGCCACAGCTCTGCTGGCCCTGCCCTTTTCTGGACGGAGTTTTCTGCATGGTTCTTCTGTTGAACCTTATGAGGGAGTGATGTCATGGCCTTTTTCCTGTGTGGTAGTAACAGTACCCAGGAAAACAGGCATCTGCTTACACACTCTTAGATCCCACTTAAATGGTGGGAAAATGTATGTGGGGTATGTGTGGCATGTAGTATGTGTGTTTTGTGTATTTAATGGTGTAAAACCTTAAGAATAAGAAGGACCACAGTAGAGGGAAATTAAGTTGGGAAGCAAAAATAAAAGAGAAGGACTTCACAGACCCATAGAAGCCAAACAATAATTGATAATGCCACAGCAGGGAGCCTCACTGCTCAGCGCGTCCCCAGAGTCCCACAGAGCTGTAATGGCCAATGTCCCAAACGTTTGGGAATCAGAATAAAGGTGAGCTGGGATCGGGAGTCCAGGTGGTCATACAGCAAGTTTGAGGACCAACTTGGTATACTTGAGACTTTTGAAGGACCAAAATCCAGGAAGACTGATGCCCAGAGCTTTGTCCCCAGCAGGAGCTGGAGCCCTGAAAACCCTATACATGTAAAGTAGTTCCTTCAGTGTGGTGTTGCACTTTTGTCCTCTCTGCCAGGGTGCTTAATTCAGGACTGCGTTATGGCAGAGTACTAGAGCAGATCTCTCTGGGGAGTCTGACCAGACCCAGGAAAGACCTGAAAATAATTTATAACAGTGGGGCTCTGGACCACAGTACTCAGCCAGAACAGCTTGCCATGTGACTCAGTGTCTACACCCTAACAACTGCTTGACTTCCCACTCCAATGCTTAGCAACACTACTACACAGATATGGAACAAAGGAAAGCAGAACAGTGAAGGGACTTGTCACCGGGTGACACCTCACCCTAAACATTCCAGAACCAGAGAATAGTGAAATTCCAGACTTGAAAGGCCCACTGAATGGCCAGTACAGGGTTGGAAGTAGATCCCCAGCAAGGCAAAGCCATTTGCAGTTCCTGAACAAACCATACACAAAGACCAAGTGTTTGAACGGCACCAGCCACCTTCAGCACCACAGGCTAAAAAGCTGTGGAAGTTGGGAAGTTGCTTATACTACTATAGCTCAACCACTTTGAATGAAGTGAGAGAAACAGAAACCATCAGATACACTAGGTTTCAAGATAATGTACTTTCTACCACCTCTGTTGCTATGGTTTTTCCAGACAGGGTTTCATTGTGCAGCCCTGGCTGTCCTGGAACTTGCTCTGTAGACCAGACTGACCTCAAACTCACGGAGATCCTCCTGAGTGCTAGGATTAAAGGTGTGCACCACCACCACCTGGCTCCACCATATCTTTTTAAAGTATTTTTTAAAAGTATTTCTTAATGTTTATTTTGCATATTTGAGTGTTTTGTTTGCATGTGTGTCTGTGTGCCATAATACCTAGTGTCTGTGTACCTAGTGTCCACAGAGGCTAGAAGAAGACATTGAATCTGTGAGACTGGAGTTACAGGTGGTTGTGAGCTGTGGGTCTGGAAACTGAATTTGAATCCTCTGTGAGAGCAACCAATACTCTAACCACTGAGCCATTTCTCCGGCACCCTCTTTAAGGAAGCCATTGGAGAACCCGAGAAGAGGAAACTAGAACTTTCAAAAATGAGGTTCAGTCCTGCATAAAGCATGAAAGTCATCCAGTGGTGCTAGTGAAAGACCTGGGGGATGGGGCACTGTCACAGCAAGAAAGTGCCTCTCTGAGAGGTGGTGCAGAGGGAGGGCACAGTGCTGAGTCAGAAGCAATTCCATGTGAAACCGAGGGAGTAGATGAGAACGACTCCAAAAACAGCATCACCTTCCACACCCCTCAGCTATGACTGATGTTTATGGCATCTTCAGATTAACACCAAACATTGCCCTAAGTCCAGTTAAGCCAAGTAATTGGGAGACTGTAGGACAAGAAGAGGCAATGGAGGCCATGGAAAGGAAGTGCAGTGGCCTTCCTCATCTAGAGTAAATTCAGAGAAGCAAGTTAGCAGGATGAGCTGCTTGGCTGTGAACAAGTGCAGATGCCAAGGAAGCTGGTCAGAGGTTCAAGTTGCTGGTAAAATAGGAGGTGTGTGTGTGGGGGGGGTCGTCTGTGCTGTTTAGACTTCCTTCTGATTCCCACTGGCTATAAACTGAGTATCAGAAACCCACAGTGCTGATGCACATGGGAAGGGAGCCATTACAGCAGTCCCCTCCTGTGAGTGGCTTCACATTTTTAGCTGCAGCACTGCACTACCTGCTCCCACCAAACTACAAAAGCTTCTGAGGAGCTGGAGGAGTCAGCATACTAGTGCCTTGCTGAGCCGCCTTTCTCTTCTCTCCCTAGATTATCCTCTGGACTTGAACCACAGTGAAGTCTTCCCCCCAACCACGACATTTCTTCCTGAAGATTTCACCTACTTTGCCAACCACCCTTGCCCAGAGAGGCTCCCTTCCATGAGTAAGTAGATCCGGCTTACCTCGATGCTTCATGCAACTAGTTCTTAACAAGTTACTTAACTTCTGGTTAACTAATGCAGAAGGGAGAGTGTGACCAGCTGGCTTCTCTGACTTTGGATAGTGAAAGGCTTCCTGCTCTGGGAGTTGGGGCCAGAGGAATTCTTTTACCTCAGCTTCTCTTCAGCCGAATCTGCTGCTGTTGACCCATATTCTCAGCGGTGCTGTGTTCTGCCCTTTGTGATGGCCTTCATGAGGTGTCCTGGAGAAAGATCTGGCCAAGGCTTTGTCATTTTTGTGTAAATTGCCCACTGGTTATATCTGGTTTGATACAATAGACCCTCTACCCACCTTCTTCTTCTGTGTCCTGCTGCTTTGTTCCCATTTGTTCCCCCCCCCCCACTCCCCACACTTCCTGTCCATCCCACTCTGGCTAGTTGCTAAAGGTTATTTTCTTTTTGTTGTTGTTGTTTTTATTTTGTTTTTTGAGATAGGGTCTTTTGTAGACTAGGGTCCTTTGTAGACAGAGATCCACCTGCCTCTGCCTCCTTTGGGTTGGGATTAAAGGTGTATGCCACCACATTCCAGCAAAAAGTTATTTTCCTAACAAAATGCTGGTTTAAAAAAAATTCAAGCCCTGCATGGTGGCCACACCTTTTATTCCAGCATTAGTGCTCCTAGCTGTTCTGGGACTCGCTCTGTAGACTAGGTTAGCCTGGAACTCACAAAGATAGATCCTCCTGCCTCTGCAGCCCTGGGGACTAGTATCAAAGGCCTGTGCCCTACTCCTGGCTTCCCTAGCACTTATAGTTGCCATGGTTTCAGTTTTGGAGCTTCGTCAGAGATGTGTGCTCTGAGTTTGGGCACTGTTACTCAGAACCCCTACTCACTGGTGGCTGGGTTGAGACAGGCAGCTGGCCTGAACGAGCTGCCAAGCCTGAGCGCACCTCTGAATTGAGCTACCACCTCATGGACTTTTGGAAGAGTGAGCAGTGAGTGTGTTGAGTGAAATGGAGTTCCCTGTGGCGGGGGTGGGGGGGACTTGAAAAGAGCTGCCTCCCCTTGGCTTCAAGGTCTCTGTTCCTTCCCCACCTTGGCAGGAGCCAACCTCTAAGGTGTTGTCCCTTTATTACACTTCTTTGTCAGATGGCAGTGACACCCTAAAGGGCAGAGAGATGGGAAACAGCCTGGCCAGGGCTCAGCCTGGGAAAGTTTTAATTGTTTTTTCTCTCTGTGTGTCCAGAGGGCCCGATAGACATAAACATGAGTGAGATCAGAATGGACGATATTCACGAGCTCTTCTCCAGAGACCCAGCCATCAAGCTTGGAGGCCACTGGAAGCCTTCGGACTGTGTGCCTCGATGGAAGGTGGGCTATGAGTCAGACCACAGGTGTTAACACATCTGGGGTTCAAGAACTGTAACATCTGGGAACTTGCACTCTGCCTCTCATTTTTGAGAAATGAGTTTCCCCAAGCACTCTCCTGCAGCCAGAGAGATTGACAGCACCCTGTTGACGTGTGGCTGCACTGAACCCCTTTGTTCCCAGGCAGGATTATTTGTGGGAGAGAGGGTCAATAAGTCAGCTGACACATTTGTGGACTGTGTCTTTGCTTCCTGTAAAAGGAACGGCGGGTTGCTTTCCCGCTACCCAGATCCCAGCTAGCTTACACCCGAAATAATTACACGGAAACTGTATTCTTTTAAACACTGCTTGGCCCGTTATCTGTAACCTCTTATTGGCTAACTCTTACATATTGATCTAACCCATTTCTAATAATCTGTGTAGCACCACAAGGTGGTGTCTTACCAGGAGGATTCTAACCTGCGTCTGTCTCGGAGAGGAGAGTCATGACGACTGCCTCACTGCCTTCTTCCCAGCATTCTGTTCTGTTTACTCCACCTACCTAGTTTTCTATCCTATCAAAGGGCCAAGGCAGTTTCTTTATTAACCAATGAAAGTAACACAATAGACAGATGACCTTCCTCCATCAGCTTCCTGTCTGGTCTCCCAAGTTACTGGAAGATAAGTGAACCATAGTGCAGTTCTCCAGCTGAACAGACCTTCCTACAGACCTTGGGTCTTTGTAGGGTGACTGTAGTCAGGAGAGGAGGCGGAAGCTAAAGGCCATTCTTTGACAAGTATTTGATAAAGTACTTGGATGCTGCTGATCCTGTGAGGGACAGACCATGACACAAGCCATGGGATAAACTTAGTGTATGGTAGCAAGTGTGCACAGATGACCATTGTAGAATGAGCTATGTGCAGCATTGAGGAGCTTCACTCACTCTGTGTTGGCATACTTCTAGAGAGACCTTTGTGCTGGGTCACCTTGGGTCTATCTGCCTCTTAGAGCTGCAGACTAGATAGGATCCAGATAATTCCATGGTGCCATTGCTTGCATAGACCAGCATTAGAGAATGTCAGGGGGCTCTCAGCACTCCCTAAGGGTTGCATATCTAGGGTTTTCCAACTGTGTAGCAATGTAGAAAATTGGGCAGCTAGGGCCAACAGCTAACTAACTGGTGGCTTCCTGTCGTCCTGTGGTTCACTGCAGGTGGCCATCCTCATCCCCTTCCGGAACCGTCATGAGCACCTCCCAGTCCTCCTGCGACACCTGCTCCCAATGCTTCAGCGCCAGCGCCTGCAGTTTGCCTTCTATGTGGTCGAGCAAGTGAGTGACATTTAGTTTTCTTCTCTCTCTTCTGAGCCCACAATCTGGGAAGCAGCAGTGACACTGTCTTCAGTATAAAGAGCCCAGGGTGACACTGTCCCCATGAGCTTGGCCCTCCCACATCAATCATTAATTAAGAAAATGCTCCATAGACTTGCCTACAGGCCAGTCTTAGGGAGTTATTTTCTTAATTAAGGGTCCCTCTTCGCTGGGTGTGGTAGCACTCAACTTTAATCCCAGGCTGGCAGATCTCTGTGAGTTCAAGGCCAGCCTGGTCTACAGAGTGTGTTCCAGGACAGCCAGGGAGGGCTGTTACACAGAGAAACCTGTCTCAAAAAAACAAAACAAAAAAGTCTGTCTTCCTTGATATGTCTAGGTTTGTGTCAAGTTGACAAACATCAAAACCATCCAGCACCTCCCTTGCCCCTGTCCTGAGTGTATGTTTTGGTGTTAGCCTGGATAAGAAGGTTAACATGTAGTTAAGTAGGCCATAACTGGTATGAACTGGTTTCTACCTGCCACAGAATTTGTAATCCTCAGACAGTCATCCCTGGAGATCTCAATGACTATTGTAGTGGGACCTTCAGAATAAAAAGCTGAGATGAACACACCCTCTTTCACTAGATGTGTGAGCAGCATGGATTGAGGCTTGGTAGTGCCTGGCCTGTTTCCTGTATATGCCGTGGCTGTAGGCCTTTGTCTTCAGCTGCGGTTTGTGTCGATGCAGCGCTCTCTGAAGAAACAAGACAGAATCCAGTGGACTCCCTGGGTGACTGTGGGCTGAGAAATGCTGCAGTCTATGTGGGCTCAGTGGTCTGTCCACTTGGCTCCTAGGAGCCCTTTTGGTGTGCAGCAAAGGCAGTAAGGTCTTTGCTTCAAGATCCTTTGTTTTTTTAGGTTGGTACCCAGCCCTTTAACCGAGCCATGCTTTTCAATGTCGGCTTTCAAGAAGCCATGAAGGACTTGGATTGGGACTGCCTGATCTTCCATGATGTGGATCACATACCCGAGAGCGACCGCAACTACTATGGCTGTGGACAAATGCCCAGGCACTTTGCAACCAAACTGGACAAATACATGTACCTGTGAGTGTCTCCTCCTCCCAAAGGCCAGTCATAGACACGAGATGCAGCTGGCTGTGACCAGCTGTGTCAGCTGATGGGCGACTTGTTAAGTGTAGTACTGTATGCAGGAGCTCAGCAGTGAGCAGGCGTGAGGCCCAGAGTCACCATCTTGTTCACTGTGGAAAGTGTCCAGAGTAGGCGGGCTGTGGAGATGGAAAGTGGGTTAGTAGTGTGACTGGGGATGGGGAGCGAAATGTTTGAGTGGTGATGACCAGTGTGGAGTGACCGAACACCGAAGGTGGCCATGGTTGCACAACTCCACACACGCTGAGTAAATTCTGTGCTGTCACTCACTGCACAATAAAGTTGTTGCAGACCAGTTGGGAGCTTGGAGTGGTGCTCAGTTCTCTTGCCTGGCTGTGTGAGCCTCCAGGTTCCATCCCTGCAGTACAGGAAAACAGACAAAATCATCAGGAAATTCAACTCTAGGTCTTCTAACATGACTGCTGTCCTTCCTTCAGGCTTCCCTACGCAGAGTTTTTTGGTGGAGTGAGCGGCCTGACTGTAGAACAATTTCGGAAAATCAATGGCTTTCCTAATGCCTTCTGGGGCTGGGGTGGAGAAGATGACGATCTGTGGAACAGGTATACAGCCCGTCCTACCCCCACGCTGCCACAGTGTCCACCAGGAGCTACATGTGTCACCCGGTGTCCTTGAGGCCACATTGGAAAGAACCATATATTCAGCCAGTTGTCGGTGTGAGGCTGGTGGGTGTTTCCTGTGTGCCCCCACCACATTACACAGCAGCTCCACCCATCCTTCTGATGGGATTCTTGGAGTGACTGCCTTATTTTCTTTCATGATGGAGATGAATATTGGGAGTTGTGATTATTTGGAGTTTGTTTTAAAAATTATAGTTATAACATTAAATAACAACAGAAAAACTCTTCTAACCAAAACTAAAAATATATCTCTGCTTTCTATGAAGGCAACTATTCTCAATTTCTCTTTTGATAAATAAAAATAAACAAATGACAGCTTAACAGTCTTTTTATAATAACATATATGAGGGCTGTAGAAATGACTCAGCAGTTAAGAGCGCCTATTGTTCTTCCAGAGCACCTCAGTTTGGTTCCCAGCACACACATTGGGCAACTCGCAGCTGTCTGTAACTCTAGCTCCAGAGGACCAGTGCCCTCCTCTGTAGGCACCTGTACTCACTGGCACATACTCACACACAGACATAGAAACACACGCATAATTAAAACGTAAGATTAATTTGGGGCTGGAGAGATGGCTTGCTGGTTTAGAACATTTGCTGCTTTTGCCGAGATCCTGGGTTCAATTCCAGCACTCACATGGCAGCTCACAACTGTCTATTATAACTCCAATTCCAAGGGATCTGATGCCCTCTTCTGACCTCCAACAGTACCAAGCTTGCACAAGGTGCTTATACATAAAGTTAAAATAAAAATGTTCAATACTTTGTTAGAAAGAGAGTAATAGCAGGGTGTGGTATATCCCAGCACTTGGGAGGCCGTGGAGACAAGAAAGAGTTCTCTGACTTCAAAGCCAGGCTACCTAGTAAGACTTCATTCATAGAACAGGGGAGGGAAGAAATATGTGCATCGTAAAATTCATATGCGAATAAAAATAAATTGCCCCAGTCTGTGCACCCCAAAACAACTTTATTACCATTTCAGTTTGTCTTTAAAACATGGTGAATGAACCACATCAGACCTGTGTCAGTTTATCAGACCCGTAAGTGTCAGTCACCACAGTCTCAGGGTAAGTGTCACTGCTTGGGGCTGGGTGATGTAAGTGTTAGAAACACACGGTGTCTTGTGTGGGATGCTGTCTGAAGCTTACATAGCTTCCTGTTGGCTTGTTTAGCCTTCAGTGTTCCCATGCATACAGGTGGTAACTTAGTAGATTGTCTCATTCCCACTGGTACTTAGGAAAAGGTCTTTGAAATAAATTTGGTCTGAATGTGATGTGTTAGGGCTCTTGAGCCATGATATAGCAATGTTCCCCATGTTCCCTGTGGTTCTCTGTGTACTCTGTGCCCATGTTAGTGAAACCTCCCCAAGCAGAGGGGTGGAGTGCCTGGTGACCTGTTCACAGATGTGTCCCTGCAGTCTGCAGCTACATGCAGGTGAAGACTTCAGGTGGGTGTTGGGGTCATCCTCAGTGGCTCTCCACCTTGTGTTTTCAGACAAGGTCCTTCATTGAAGCTGGAGCTTGTTGATTGAGCTAGGCTGACTAGCCCTGAACTCGAGTCAGCTGTCCATTTCCCTTTCCCCTTTCCAGTGATGGGATTATAGATACACAGCACTGCTCGCTCAGCTCTTAGTGGGTTCCTGTAGATCCAAACTCAACTTATGCTTGAATGGTTGGCACTTTATCAGCTGAGCCATCTCCCTAGTCCCTTATTCCATTGTTTTCAATAGCAATTACATGGTCTTACCACAGACAGAAATCCTAGTTACTCTTCTGATGGGCATTTGATGGGAGTATGCCATCTTTTGTTCACATGTGGAGGCATCGCTCCAGATTATCGAAATGCTTAGTGTGACTACACAGTCAAAAAACACATTGTGACAGTTGCTGGGGTGTGGCTCAGGGATGGAGCACTTTCCTAGCATGCACTAGCTGTTTGTGTGTGTGTGTGTGCCCCCCCCCCCCCACAGAGAGAGAGAGAGAGAGAGAGAGCGAGCTGGGGAGATAGTTGTTAAAATGCTGAGTTTGACCTCTGAAACCATATTTCTTGCTATTTTTGAAAGCTGGGTCTGGTGGCTGCATTAATTGTTTTTCTGATGATGTGATAAGCACCATGACCAAGCCAACTCATAGAAGAAAGTTGATTTGGGCTTACGGTTCCAGAGGGGTGAGTGTTCATCATGGCAGGGAGGCAGCAGGCATGGTGACTAGAGCAGGCTGCTGAGAGCACACATCCTCAGCCTCAAGCATGAAACAGAGAGAGCAAACTGGAAATGATTTAAACTAAAGCCTGCTCCCAATGGCTGACTTCTTCCAGAAAGGCCACACCTTTTAAACCTCCCCAAACTGTACCATCATCTGGGGACCAAGAGTTCAAATACTGAAACCTAGGGGGACATTTCTCATTCAAACCATCATAATAGCATATGCCTTTGATCCAAGCCCTGGAGAGGTAGAGGCTGGAGGATCCCTGAGTTCCAGGTCAGGCTGGTCTATATAGGGAGTTTCAGGCTAGTCAGAGGTACACAGTGAGATCTTGTCTCAGAAAAGGTTGTTGTTCTCTGTAGCACATGCCTATAATCTCAGCAATGGGAAAGCAGAGCCAACAGATCCCCTGGGCTAGCCAGCCACAGCCTAGCCCATGTGGTGAGCTCCAGGACAGTAGGGTACCTTATTTCCAAAAAGAAAAATGACATAGTGCCTGAGGAATGACATGCAAGGTTGTCATCTGACCTCTCCAAGCACATGCATGTAAACATACACACGAAATGTTAGCACGTTAAAATCAGTTATATGAGTGAGAAGGTACTTGGACATTGTTGGGGAAACTGTGAGGTGTCTTTAGAGTTTGCTAGTCTCTGGGTCTTCAACATCTCACTGCTGTCTCTTTGGTTTTGGACAGGGTACAGAATGCGGGCTATTCTGTGAGCCGGCCAGAAGGGGACACAGGAAAATACAAGTCTATTCCTCACCACCATCGAGGAGAAGTCCAGTTTCTTGGAAGGTTGGTATTGTTTATCTGGCTGTACCATCCCTCTGCACCGGCAGTGTGACTAAGTGTCACGGCTGTCTGTTCTGATTAGCCAAGGTAGACATTGTGCGTGACCATTGGTGAGATTTAGATATTTGGGTCTCCTGTGCAACCTGAGAGAGTTGGTGTGACCTCCTGCTAAGCCCTGCCCTGTGAAAGTGTCTCCAGGGGGAGTAGCAGGGCTCTAACTTGGCTGTTTTTTGTCCCCTCCTCTGTTTGAAATCTCTTTCTGAGGCTTTTCCAGTCTGACCTTGGGTTAGTCTCTTGAGCCTCCATTTTCTTTGGCCTGAGAGGCGTTAGATGAGATCCTGTAAAGCTGGTGAGGCAGCTGTCCTGACTGTGTGGAGCTGGGATGCTGGCTCTGAGTCCCTCTCTGTCCTTGTCTTTCCAGGTATGCTCTGCTGAGGAAGTCTAAGGAGCGGCAAGGGCTAGACGGCCTCAACAACCTAAACTATTTTGCAAACATCACATACGACGCCTTGTATAAAAACATAACTGTCAACTTGACACCCGAGCTGGCTCAGGTGACTGAGTACTAAGATGTGGAGAGAAGTCGTGTCCACCTACCCACCACCCCCTCAGAAGCGCTATGATGCGCCGTCCTGGGGGTCAACACAGGACGAGGACAGAAAGAGAGTGGAGTGCAGGACCATAGGGTTCCAGAAAACTGTCACAGAGCACACGCACAAAGGCCTCAGCTGTAGGCCCAAACAGGGGCAGGCGGCTTGGGGACACCTCTCATCAGCACTGGCTTCATTCTACAAGACAGATGCCTGCCCTGCTGCTCTCGTCTGTCCCCACCCCAGGGCCAGGCTTGGTGCCCCTCGGAGAGATGAATGGCCAGACCCAGAGGCCACCATGGCTAGCCACCCATGGCTTGAAGCAGGAGGACTGCCACACCGTTCTCTGCATCTCTGGTGTTCTCTTTGGTTCTCATTTTGTTTGGTTTTGGGGAGAATTTTTTCTTTCTTTTTTCTTTTTCTTTCTTTATCTTTTCTATCCTTTTTTTTTTTTAAAGAAAATTAGCTGCATTGGGTGGGAACTAAGGGCGGAGGGGAGGGACATGGAGTGATAGGCACATAACAGTCACTTCTTGAAGAAGTGTAGTTGTAAATAAGCCATGTAAAATGCCTTTTTAAAATTTAATTTTATAGCTGGCTCCACTTCAGAGTGAGGGCTTCGTATATTAGATCACCTTGGGTGGCAAACATAACTGAGTTACCACATAGTTGGAGAGTGTCATCACCCAAATCCCTGTCATTTCAGAAGGGAGTAGACACGGGGCAGAACAAAGAACCTATCACTACAGCCCCTTCACTCCTCCCTCCCCTCCAGAGACTTAACAGCTAAGCAGGGACTGCTCTTAGGGCCACAGTGCTCTCCCCTCTTACAGACCCCCTCAGTGCCAGGGTATGTGGAGGCTGGGCGAGGCAGGGTGCAGGGCTATCACTCCAGTGTGAAAGGCAGGGGCTGATGAACAGGAAGTTTGAAGCCGTTGTGGGATACATAGCAAGTTCCAGGCCAACCTGAGCTGTGTAGCAGGATCTGCCCCCCCCCCCCCAGGAGGGGGTGGCACTGTGCGGACCCAGCTCTCTGGACTTTGTTTTTTATCCCTTCAACATCTCAGAGTGCCTGTTGGGTGACGCTCCTCTTTCTTTTGAACTTGGCCAGTTTCTCAGAGCTGTGCCTGCATGACCAGCTGGCTTCAGTGGTTGCTCCGTTTCCCTTTTTTGGTTTCTGGGAAGATGCTGTGTTGTACTAACAAGCAATTGATTGGGAAGGGCTCAGTCAAGGAGTAGGTGGCACTTGGGTGCTGTGTGTCAGCTAGGATCCAGGTGAGATCTCACCAGAGCTTTGACAGGCAGCCAGCAGAGGTCACCCCTGCTTCCTGATGGCAGTTCCTAAACTGCAGTCAAAAGAATTCTTCCTTCCTGAGCCAAGGCCCCTTCCTGTGTCTGCCTTTGCTGTGGCCCTGTCCCTACAACAGGGATCTGTGTGTGGTGAGGAGTGCTCTCTTTAGGCCTCCAACTTCTGTTCTTTGCCTTTTTTGCCTTCAGCGCCCTCGATGTTCATGGTTTACATAAGTGGGTGTGGGATGTGTAAATATGTGGGGTTGGGGTTTTTGCATTGCACAAGTTGGTTCTGTGGACATATGATCCCCACAGACTGTGGGAGTGATTGGCCAGGCCTTGTTTTTTTTTTTCTTTCTTGTTTTTGTTCTTTTTGTAGAATAGAGTGGTATCTAGGGAACAGATGGCATTGCAGAATGCTTCCCGCTCGTATGAGAGAGCAGGTGCCTGCCCTTGAGAGCGCTGGTGAGCTGCGTCATCTGTTTGCACTGGGCAAGGAGCTGCACGGCTGCGTTGACTTGCCTTTGTCTTACGGTACACAGCAATAAAGATTGTGTTGGTCCCCAGTCCAGACCCTCTGCCCTTCTCTTGTTAGTTTTGAAGTGCTGGGCATGAAACTCATGGCTTCAGCATGCTAGGTGAGTGCTCTGCCACTGAGCCGTGGGCCCAGCCTTCGCTCCCCTCATTCTTCTGTTTCTGCACTGAAGGCCAGGAACTGCTTTCAGTGTGGCAGAGCCATGGTCCTTTAGAGGGGCTTCCAGAGAGGGACAGTGGTGCATGCCGCATGTGTCCCAGTTGAAGCTCTGCCTTCTCACACATGCCACAGGGTACTGCTTTGGGCCAAAGGCTGATACTTGATTTAAGAAAGAAACACCGATTTGGGGACAAAAGAAAAGGTCTTTTTACTGCTCAAAGTAGGGTCGCTTATATTCTTTTGCAATCATGTCCAAGTTTGTTTTTAGTGTGGGCTCTTAGCGGGCACTGTCGATCATTGTCCACTAAGTCACATGCTGAGTGGGAAATGTCACAGTCAGAACCATACCACCAGGCCACATGTTAGTTAGGTCACAGGATGCTTAAAGAAAATGACAGCGAGGAGCGAGTATGACCTTGGTGTATTTTGGCAGCTGAGATTATTCAGTGCTACAGACGAGTGACCCTCAAACCAGCCTTGCCCTTGACTGCCTTGTGTGTGGAAGGTTCCCCTTCACACAGGGTTTCTTTCGAGGGAGAGGGATTTTGCAAACCTTTGATTTTGCTGAAACAGGGACTCTTGTCAGCACCTTCCTTCCTCAGAGGCCAGTAGCGGAGCATGTACTGACTGTACCCACACACCACTGATGAGGCATTGAACGCAGCTAGCTTATTCCATCGTTACTTCTGTTTGTTTTGAGCTTGCTCTCTGTTTAAAAGGTGCCAGGGGTACATTTTTGCACTGAAATCTAAAGATGTTTTAAAAACACTTTTCACAGAAGCAGTCCTTTGTCATTACATTGTTCACTCATGTGTTTGTACATTTTTGTATGTTAATTTATGAATGATTTTTTCAGTAAAAATACATATTCAAGAACCAGACTTCAATGGTTGTCTCTCTCTCTCTCTCTCTCTAACTGCCTTTCAGGGAGATTCTCTCTCCTCTGTAGAACACCACACGTGGGTGACAATTGGGTTCTAGAACAGTCTCTGTGGCCTGTTCTGGGTTGCTTTCTACCTGATTCTACTCACAGATTGTGTGTGTGTGGGGGGGGGTTGCCTTGTTTTCCAGTTTCCTATAGCCGAGGCTGGTCACAAACCTGTTCCATATATGTACTTGAAGGTGACCTTGAACTTCCGATAGGTGTGCACCAACAGGTTTGTGTGGTGCTGGGGAAAGAACTCAGATTTAGTGCATACTCGCCCAACTCTCTATCAGTGGAGGCCCAACCGTCTTTCTTGCTATTTTTTACTTTATGAGTGCATATGTTTGCCTAAATGAGGCCAGAAGAGGGCATTGGCTCACCAGGAGCCGGAGTTAGAGATGATTATGAGCCTCCATGGTTCAAGAAAGTCTATGTACTTAGCCATTGAGCCAACTGTCCAGTGCCCCCATCCCCAGTGTTTTGTTTTTTTTTTTTCTTTTAACATAGAGGACACAGCCCTGCACTTAGGCACTGGGAACAAGATAGGTAAAATAAGAGACCTCTCAGAGCAAGCTGTCTGAGGTTCCAGGAAGCCGCTCCCAGTCCACAGGATGTGTTGGGAAGAAGGCCTGGCTGGTACTTGGCCAAGGAGGAAGCCTAGTGAAGTAGAGTTGGAGAACTGGGTCGGGTAAGCTGCATGTGCACAGCAGCAGAAAGTAGCAAAGCTGGTCAGGGCCTGTGAGTCAGGGAAGGAGGCTGGGCAGGACCAGGGCTGGCCAGGGCTGGGGGATGGAGGAGTCCTTGGGAGCTGCCGACTTTCCCACATGCATGGTACCACTTTCTGTATTGTGTTTTAGGGGTTGGAGACCACAAAGCACAGTAAGTGGACAGCTGTATGCTCTGGTGAGGTCATCAGGGAAGGGACCATTGAGGCCTGGTGGGTCAGTCCCTCAGATGAATGGAGAGTTGGGACGGGGGGGGGGCTGAGAACCAAAATTGTGGGGGGTGGGGGCCCCAGAGAACAAGAAGGGGGGGTTGGGGTGGGGGCTGTGGGGCTGCCTGCAGGAAGCATGGAGCTTTGGTGCACCCCTGGAGAGGTTGGGCAGGAGAGTCACAGGAGAGGGGAAGTCACAAAAGTGACAGGGGATGAAGGGTGGAACATGGCAAATTGGTGGTGGGGAAGCCAGGTACTGTCCTCCAAGGAAAGTGGCAGGAAGATCCAGGGGTGCCGGCCCTGAGGAGCTGGCTCAGTGCAGCAGAGAAATCTCAATACCAATGGGAGGGGAGCCATTTTACTGGCTGATGTGACATCATGAGACAGGCTCCATCCAGTGAGCAGAACTGTAGCACAAGTATTAAAAACCCAGAGACGGGTTAAAGCTGAAGACCAGAGAAGCAGAACAGTAGCTGCTAGAGAGACCTTTTACCTCTACCAATGCTCAGACCGAAGGGGCAATACTCAGACTGCCCAGACTGCACTGTGTCTCCACCAACACTCCAGTGAGTTCCTGTCTCTTTTTTATATTTCTCTATCCACTCAGCCATACCTCTACCTCCCTAGTGCTGAGATTAAAGGTATCTGACTCCCAAACAATGGGATTAAAGGTGTGAGCCACCACCACCTGGATCTGTTTCTGGATCAGTCTTGTGTAGCAAGGGTAGCCTTGAATTCAGAGATTTGTCTGCCTCTGTCTCCTGAGTCCTGGGACTAAAGGTGTGTATCACCACATCCTGGCCTCTAGTGGCTTAATTTTGCACTCTGATCTTCAGGCAAGCTTTATTTATTAAAATACAAATAAAAAATAAAAAGAATACAAATAAAATATCACTACATAGAACTGAGTCTGTCAGAATGCATTACCACCACTTCTGGCAGAGTGGCGTCTGCCTGCAAATGTCCACCAATGAGAAACGTGTCCTGGGGGCCCAGTCTGCCGAGTGGGCTGTGAAGATAACCACATCCTCTTCCTCTGGAGAAGGGTATCCCGTCTCAATTTCACACTTGACTTCTTCAGACTCCTGTGGGGTAGGGCTGAGGGTGGGGCAGTGGGCTGTACTTCAGTGGGTGTTCTGCAGCCTCTGTGTCTAAGTGCCAGCCAGAAACATCACCAGACTTCGATGACTCGAGGCAATTGCTTTGGGGAAACGGAAGCCAAGAATGCCCTGAGGTCAGAAAGTGAGCTGCAGAGCATCGTCCTGGGGAAAGCCCTGAAGCCCACAACTGCTTTTTGTTGTGGGCTCTTAAAAGCTTTTCCAGGCATAACCTAAAAGTAATTTATTCTAAAAGCAATAAATGGGTTTATGTTAGGGAGTGGGGGGAGAGTTGAATCCGCTCTTTAATAGTTTGCCTACATATATACATATGTGGGGGATAAATACATGATTTGTAAAAGGCCCTGTAATTGGCCCATTACTTTATAAGGTTTCCTAAGTGTCACTGCCCCTGGAAGCCCTGTGTGAACACCCAGGGTGTACACCAGTAAGGCACCACTCCCTCCCCATTTAGCTTCTCTGGTCTCTTCTAGACTCCTTCCTTCATCAGTGTTAGGTCTCAAACCCAGGACAAACTGTTGAGATTCCTATTAACATATCAAAGTAGCTCTGGCGAGCTTCTCCCAGCATCCCTCAGTCCCTACCTGATAAAGGGTCCCCCTGGCTGGCAAGCCAGGGCCCTACCCTAAACTTCTCCACCCAGGGACTGGGCTGGCCTGCTCTTCCCCCAACTTCTCCGATTTCTATCAGAGCCATCTTGGTTACGGACCCATTTTGCCTCTTGGTCTCCTGATCCCCTGGCTCTCCCCTATCCCTTCTCCTTAACTTGGCCCGACTCAGGGTCATGTTCACTCTGGGTTCTTCCAGATATCTCTGGCTATGTTCTCCCTTATAGCTACAATGAACTCCTCCACCATACCTAGGAGCAGTCACCTCCTCCTTTTATTTTTCATTCACAAATATTTGTGTAGTTTTCAGTGAGGTGGGGCAGTGTGACTGAAGTGTGTCACCAGGAAGGAGGAGCCTTTTCCCTTCTGGATGGCCAGTCAATAACTCCTCCTGGGTGTGGTGCTGACACAGCAGTCAGGCAGAGGCAGGAGAATCGCTATGAGTTCACAGCAAGCATGTTCTACATTTTCAGTTCCAAGCCAATTGGAACTACATAGTGAGATCCTATTTCAAAGAGAAAAAAAAAAGTCTTCCTGCCAGTTATTCCCCAAATGATAGTTGATGTTTTGTTTGTTTTCTGGCTTATAGATCTGTCTTCTCCTATCAGTGGTAACTCATGGGGAAAGGGTCATTGGTTCTCACTGCTGTCTAGAGCAGGGTCTGGTGGGCGATGTTAGTGAATGATGTGGAATTGAATGAATGAAACGTCCGACTAGCTTTCTGCTTATCGTGAAGAGACACCATAGAAAGAGTTTCATTGTCTTGCTTACAGTTTCAGAGGTCAGTAGTGTTCAGTTGGAGCCTTGGGCTCGCCTCTGCACAGTTTGGGAAGCCCCATTCCTGTCTCTCTCCCTCCAAACCCTGCCTGCTCCGAGAGTCTCCAAACAAAGGAAAGGCTCCCAAAGTACTGATCTGCATTCTTGCGACTTTTGCCGCTCCCTCCCCTGATACCACCAGCTGCTCCAGTCCCCATCTTAAGCGCTCAGCTTTTGACTGTATTGGGCATAAGCCCAGCTTGTGGTAGACACCCCTCTCCTACAACCTATGAAATATTGTGAAATGTTGTTGCTCTTTAGCTTTTTGAGGAGCCCTCCACCCAACTCCCAAATAAATCACATAGAGGCTTATTCTTAGTTATGAGTGCCTGGCCTTAGCTTGACTTGTTTCTTGCAAGCTTTTCTTGTCTTAAATTACCCCCTCTACCTTTTCCCTCTGGGTGTTTATCTTTCTTGGGTGATTGGGTGGCTGTCCCCAACATCCTCTTCTCCTTGTTCTCTTGCTTGCTCTTTCTTCGGCTCCTTGCTTCTCCTTTTATTCTCTCTGTCTGCTAACCCCGCCTATCCTTGTACCTGCCTTGCTATTGGTCATCCATCTCTTTATTAGGACCATCAGGTGTTTTAAACAAAGAATCACAGCTTCATAGTTAATCAAATGCAGCTTAAATAAAAGTAATACACCTGAAAATAATATTCCTCAACAATGAAACCCCGCCCCCGTCTTAGCTCAGGCACGTGGCTTTCCTGGCCTTGTTTTCCGAGACCAGTGAACCCACCCAGGAGTTGCTTTGTTCTCAATAAACCTGCTGTTAAACTCTTTCAGTTCAGCTTAATCTGGCTCCCTGTGTTAGCAGAGAAACTTATTATGGGGGCAGAAAACCTATGGCGTAGAACATCTCACTGTGCTGTTGAGGGACCAGGATATGGGGGAACCAGCAGTCTCAGGACCTGGCTTATAGCAGTGACATCATGACAGGCTATAGAAGGGGCCTTTGGTCCCCTTGCTATAACTTTAATAGCTCCCCAGCCACCTTGGGTAAACATACAGCCTCAGAAATGAGGAAGTGTTTGGGTGGCCTCTAGACAAACCTGTGTTCCCTACCTTTGACCAAATGACTGTCCCCCCCCCCCCTTCTATAGAGACTCACTATTCACTAAAACTGCCTTACAGACCGGAAACAAATTCTGAGACAGAGGAACACAGTGTGTCTTAGCAGGAAGATGGTAACTGTAGGTTCACTGACTCTTCCAAGCCAATTATACTTAGTACTTTCAGACAGTTAGGAATAGTGATTAGCAGACTCCAAATTCCTCAGGTGACAGGCTCTAACATCACCATGGAAACATGTTTGTGAGTGAGCGTCTAGACTGAGGTAGTTGAGGAGGAAGACCCACCCTGTATGTGAGCTCCACTATCTTGTGACTGGGGTACTGTGAGGAATCAAAATGAGAAAGCGAGCACCAGGGTCCATTTTCTCCCTGACTGGATACAGCATGATCAGCTACCTCAAGTCCCTGC